ACCTGTGCATCTTTCAGTCATGGCTGGAGCGGGAGCTGCAGGGATGCAGGCAGCAGTGTGCTGTGGCTGAGACCAGCAGTGGGGCCTTGCAGCTGGCCCAGGAAAACATTCTTCTCTCTCAGGCCTTAGGGCCTGTGACAGCAAGGGCTGCTGCAAAGGTCTCTGAAATGCCTTCAAGACCTTTTTCCCATTGTCTTGGCTATTAGAACTGGACTCCATTTTATACAAGTTTCTGAATCTGCTTTGAATTTTTCCACTGAAAATCAGCTTTTCTTCTTGACCACTTGGCCAGGCTGCAAAGTTTTTAAACTTCTAAGCTCTGCTTCTCATTTAAATGTAAATTTCTGCTTGAGGTCATTTATTTGGTCACACAGAAGACCACAGGCTGTTAGGCACAGACAGGACACCTCTTGAGCTTTGCTTCCAAAGGTTCACTCCGCCAGATACACTTGAAACCATCACCCTCAAGTTCAAAGTTTCACAGGTCTCCAGGTTAGGAGCATCATGCAGCGACGTTCTTTGCTAAGGCAAAACAAATGTAACCTTGGCTCCTGTTCCCAGTAAACTCCTCATTTTCATCTGAGACCTTGTAAGCCTGGCCTTCACTGTCGCTCCTTCTGTCACCTATTTAATTACAACTATTTAACAAATCTCTACAATAGTCCGAACTTTCCCTCATCTTCCTGTCTTCTTCCAAGTCCTCCAAACTCTCCAACCTCTAGCCATTACACACTTCTCCACCTGCTTCTACATTTTTAGCTCTCTTTGTTGCAGTCTGTCAATGTGGTAAAAGAAGAAAAGTCCATTTTCATGGGGGAAATTCATGCAGGCTTCAGATATTTTCATGAAAAGAAGCTGAGTGCTGATTGCCAAGATAGGAAGGAAAAGGCCTTGAAGGCATTTCATAGCTTCACTTCAGAGCACTAATTTTCTGTATGATCATAAAGAAAAGAGGTTGAACTGGCTCATGGCTCTGCAGGCTTTAAAGGAATCATAGAGGCTTCTGCTCCTGGGAGGAATCAGGAAGCCTCC